GCATTTTGTGGACCAGAAGCTAAAAGGTTWAAAAACCTCTGCTGCAGATGAAGCTGGAGGTGCAGATGTTTCAAATTCTTGCAGAAAAAGTGATGTCTGAATGAACGAATGTGTTCTCAAACTTGTGCACACTTTTCTGCATTGATTGGGCTTTTCCAGATGAGTATACCGCCAGTGCCAGAGGCACTAATGCACCCCCATACCATCAGACAGGCAGGCTTTTGGACTGGTGGAATGGTGCCGCTTTTATTTAAAGAGGACCTGGCAGCTGGTTTTCAGAAACAGTTACAAATTTTAATAAATCTGACAACAAAACTGTTTTTTTATATATTTTTTACTTCCTGTTAATGAATATTAGTCCAACACAAGAGGGATATATATATGCCTTAAGCATATTTTAGTGACAAAGTGTCTAATTTGAGTAATAAGGCCAAAAATATTAAACTTAATGCATCACAAACTGTCTCAAATTACAGGTAGAACATGTTTTTAATTGATCCATGAAGGATTAGTATATTTAACATTTAATTTGTTCATGTTGGTTAAATTGTTTCTGCGTGTACAGCCAATAGGAATTGTGTTACTATAGACCTGAAAGGTGTTGAAATGCTCCCTAAGAGCACATCAGTGCAAAGCATCCTGTTTGACTGTTGATGCAGGAGGTGAGAAACAGGATCTTGTCTCTTCTACCCAGAAAACCTGTGTTGGCTTGAAAAAAGTAGCAGTTTTTGCATTTCATTTATTTATTTATTACCGCGTTTAAACCCAACATAAGAGTTTTGCCAGATTACTAAAGGCTACATCTGAGAAAAAGAACGTCTTCACTCTGGAAGTTTCTCAGGAAAATTAAAAAAAAAGCAGATCTCACATTTGTTTTTGTTTTTTTTTTTTTGGCTCTGAATCACCGTCTCGCTGTTCTCAGAGTCGCTCGTTTGTTTGTTGCCAAAAGTAAAAACACGAGCGCGATCCAAGCAAATGTTTTTGTTGGAGAAATGTCACCGGCGCGTTCTCGTCCCCTGCTCCTGCTTCGAAAGGCTCCGTACAACTTCTGCTGCGCTCTGACGCATCCAACGTGACGGAGACGAGATAATGGGGTCTGAAACGTGACGCTGCATCACCACGGGTAACAAGGTGCGACCTTGTCAGAGGGGCTGATGAAGGACTCGTTAGGTTTTTSGTGACGCAGGCTGTGAGAAAATGTTTGATGAATTTGAAGTTTTGTCTTTTATTTCCGTCCACTCRAACTCTTTGCAGCACAGTTTACCTCGTTTCATTTTTTAGAGGCTTTTATCGCCTAATTCCGTGAAAGGTTTGCAATCTGTTCCTGCCCGTGAGCACGTTTGATATATTTATTTCCTGGTTTGATTTTTGTTCTATCTCTCTTCACTCTATAACCAAGTCAAACATGTTCTGTTTTTATATTTCCAACCAGAAGCTCAGCTGAACGGCAGCCACTGATGTTAACACTCAGATTAAAGTTTCTTTTTAAGGGACTAATTTCCTCYGACACGTGAATTAACAGTATATTACTGCAGTTGGCCGGAAACTCTTGTCTTTACTAAAACCATTTAGGGCCCGACAGTGATACTTCTAGACGCAGGTCACTTTAGTCCTTATGTTTTGGGTTAGTTTGTGAGAACTGTTTGTTGTGTGGGAGGATTTTACTCATCAGTACCGAGACCTAAATGATTCTGCTTTAAAAAGCTGCTAAATGCAGGGTTTCAGTATTTGGCTGCAGACAGTAATTGTGCGTCCAGAGTTTCTACGCCCAGTTTAACAGATGTTTTGATTGTCTCAGCTGCTTGTACTATTTTAGGAGTCCTGTCTTATCCAGATTATGCAGAAAAAAAATTACGATGTTGCAATAGCAGAATCTCTTTAAAAACTKTAGTTTGGACTCAGACTTTACGGATAGTTTTGTAGTTTCTAACMTGGGGTCCTGATTTTCTTAAGGATAGTGGCACCATAAAGGCAACAAAAATCATCTTTAGTTACAGTAAATTTCTTCCAATTATATTACATTCACATGCAGAACACTATGAGGTTTATTTCAGTAAAGGTTTTCTGTTTAAGCTAAGGTATGATTGCTTTAAACCMTATTTTCGGGGTAATCCTCCATCCAGAAGTTGCAACATCAAGGCGCTTGATGATATGATCATGTGTGTTCATGCACGACTGGCTTGGAAGGTGAGTGTAGTTTTTTGTTGTTGCAAGCTGCAAAGCTTTCAAAAAAAAGTGCATGGTCACAGACATTCCTGCTTCAGCTTCTCATCACTGTTTTCCATCCTGGCATCAGACAGGTTGGCTGATTTCAACACACTCACTCTTCTGTATTTTATTTTATTTATTTTAAATCTGAGCCTTAAAGTGGAACAAAAGGAGGCCCCGGCCTCTCATTTTTCCTTCATCTCCTCCTCCCGAGTGGCTGCCGCTTCCACGTTTGGAGTTGACAGACGAGAATCTGAGGTATGTTAGTCATTTTTTTCTGGCTCGGCGAAGCCACACGACTGAGGCCACGCGACGAGGAGGTGGAGGGGGCTTCGGAGACGGAGGAAAGAGCAAATCTGCAGCACGATGGAGGAGATGAGTTTGCCTGGCAACAAGAGGAAAGACTAAAGCAGGATTGTTCTGTGAAAGGCAGAAATGTTTTGGCCTGTGTGTCTGAAACTCTGCACTGAATGGCCGCCACAGCTRATGGACTCTAGCCAACGCAGAAATGGTTTTACCTCCAGCCAGTTTCACAGATATTGAGATGARACTTTGTGTGGTAGTAGCAGAGTGTCAACCTCAGCACATGATTTGAGCTCCAACAGATTCGGTGAGAACTCACAGATTAGCATCGTTTCAATCTGCAGTTCTTAAGTAAAGATGTAATTGTCAAAAAGATGTAGCAGGTTGCTGACAGCACAGCGTCGGGGGGCTTTTATCTCCCCCTTCCCTTTTTTTTTAAAACTAAACTGCACACGGTGTTCCGTGTTGGTTGCATGTTTGTTGACGGGGCTGGAGGCTCTCCTGTCAGACATGAAAGTGGGCGAAATGAGTCATGTAGACGATGTCGGCGGCTCGGCCGTCGGTTTGACGGCATCGTCTGCCGGAGCAGGCGGTTCCAGCGGRCCTGTGGGGGCAAAGCACATTATAGAGGTAAAATGAGTGATGCTGTTCATTTCAAACCCTCTGATTGTCGCTCCCTGTAGAGATAAGGTCCGCAATTAAAAGTTCAAACAGGCAGCAAGAACAAATGTGGCTTCTTTTGTACGAAAGTTTCTTGCCTTTTTTAGTAATGAAAGTAGATTAAAGCTTTTCAGCCCTTTTTTTATTTTTGGGGGGGGTGGGGGGTGTAAATGTAAAGGTTTTCACTCCCACAAGCTTCCACAAATGGATCGTGACACATYCCGGCACACATTGTGACACATTGTTTGAGAAAAAGCCAGGCTAGRCTTGGTTTGCATTTGCTTTGGCACGGGCAGCTTCGCTCAGTGCCAGAGATGCTTTTTAATCAGCAGCACCTCCAGAAAGTTTTTAAACGGAGGAGAGGGCTAAGTGAAAATTGTTATGCTGTTTTCATAAAATGGTTATCTGACAAAGTTTATTTTAAGGTGATGCAGAGCAGCTCTGTGTTTTTAAGCCTTTATGCAGCTGTGGATGACTTTGTCCAGCCGGTGCTTCATGATCAAAGCATCGGATGGTGACGCCACAGTCGAGGAGAAAAAAAAGTGCTCTTAAATTCTCATATTTTACACTAAAACTTTTAACTTTTCCCAACCCTAACAAAGTGCTTTGGAGCTTAAACTTGGCACGGTTATTTGAGCTACCAAGTGACTAAAACCAAACATCAGATCTGTTGCAATATTTGACATTTCTCCTCCTGTGCTGAGTTTCAGATTTGGGTTTCTTGCCATGATGTCCTGTGTTATAATTCTCCATAAACCATAMTGTTTATTAATGTGAATTTAGAAGTCTGCTGATGGAAAAATACTGATTTAGATTAGAACCCTGGATACTCCGAGCCCTAAAGACGTACAAGAGAATAAAGACTTGCTTTTATAAAATGGGTTGATGGCCAAACTCGCGTCTGTAAAACTAGATTTAAAACCAATTACATCGTTCATTAGAAGGGAAATGGAATATTACGTCTGTCACATCAGAGTGCTGTGCAGAGMTATAAAAAAAGATCTTCCTTGAGGGAAAAGGGCAACATTTATCGCACAGACTGACCCACTTTTAAAATGCCGAAAACATCTTTAGTAGAACTGGGAGGGTTTAAAGGAGGGCCTTCCTGAAGACGTCTGCAGGTGAAGCTGCTGCGAGAGTCAGTCTCCAAGAGCTGGTTTGAGGAGGAGAACTGAACATTATTTTATCATAAAGGGGAACCTTTGAAAACTACAACCTGTTGCATATTCCTTTTTAAACTAAACACTAAACTGATTAGGGTCTGCTAAATAAATACACCCTTTTACTGCTGCAACAGTGTGAAAAGTTGCAGTGAGCTAAAACAAATCAATTATACAGTACTGCACAACAAAATACACTAGTTTATATATGAAGCGAATAAAGTAAGATTCATGCAGGAATGATAAACCTGAAGAACATGAGTAACAATTTGAATTTTAGCAAATCTTAAATTTCTTTTGAAACCAGTTCCAAATGGAAGAAAGCAGGAAAAGGACACCCTCTGCTGTTCTGATGGGTTTCATGCAAACTGTTACTTTTATCTCTGGCTTATTGCTCCACCATCCAGAGAACAGTTCTCTTTTTATTTAAGCTTGTTAATTAGCTGTAATCTAATCAGTTTACGGCTCCAGTTTGCAAACAAGATGGGATAAAGCTTCAGTCCGGCTCAGTTAGCAGGAATTAACAGAGTACAGACTGTAAATCTATGCCAGGATTAGACATGTATTAGCTTGTTGAATGCCAAAAAACAGCCTTACTGTCAAGTCTCACAATTGTTTGCATTGAATTTGGATTTTCCTCAAAGACAGTTAAAAAAATCACATCAAACCAAGAGTTTGTCTCACTTTTATTAGTTTATTTGTAAAATATTCACATTTAAAAGTAATAGTTGTGACACCGAGGCCCACAGCGCTGACAAACACACTGTTTATTCAGTGCACATGCATCATGCTGGATTCAAAGCCCTTACGTAAACAAAAACGACAATAAAATAAAATAAAATCACAGTCCTTTGCACCAAGCAGTTGAATGTGAAGTGTGTGTCTGTGTCATCAACCCTACAGAGCTGTGCATTTCCCTTCAGGCTCCAGCGAGACTAATAAACCAAACACCAAGCCATTACACCAAAGAAGCGCACACACGCGCACACACACACAGACTGTTATAAAAGCTGAGTGGCACAACAGTGCACATGGCGGTTGGTTGTGAGGGCTTTTGCAGCCATTGATAAAGCAGAAACCATCTATTGGTAAAGCTGTCGGTCTTCTGACTCCTTGTGGGCTCGTCTTTAGTCTGTTCTGTAAAGATGAACTGGGCTATTTTGATATTCTAGTAATACAAAGCAGTGCAAATGTCAAAATGTCATTCTGCTGTAAACGATCACTCATAATTTTATTTATACACCACCACTTTGCAGTAAAGATACAAACATTGTCCTCTGAGACAGTCCAACCCACCTGGTCTCCATCTCCTACCAAATGACACATTACAACACCTTAGTTTCAGATGGATGTGAGATCAGTCGGTAAACTTTTCCTTCCCTGCCTATCCTCCTCCTCTTATTCCTGTTGTCTAGTTTTATTTGACAAAGTGCAGAGCCTCAGCCGCCACCACCGAGCCTTTGCTGCTGTCGAGGCTGGTCACCAGCTTGAAGCCTGATTTTAGTGCTAGCATCACCGTCTCTAGTTTCAGACAGTCCAGCGTGCACAGGAACGTGCTGTCCTCCTTCAGGACGAGCCGCGAGCCGGGCTCCGACTTGATGAAGTGGCGGAACTGGATCACGTTGGACGAAACCACGAACTCCTCGGGGAAGCCATCCAGGCGGCTCTTGGAGATCTGCACCAGCCGCCCTTTGACCTTGTCGATGAAGCCGGAGTCGCTGCAGTACACCTTGAGGCCCTGAGACCGCTCGTGGCTGTCGGTCACCTCCAAGAACGCCGGTTCCCGCTGGGCAGCCCTTTGACTCTCCCACTCGGACACGGCCTCCACCAGTTCACTCAGGCGGTAGAAGTCGGCCTCCCGCCGCAGGAGCCCCGCCTCCCGGAAGTCATCTGGCAGCTGCAGCTCTCCGGTTCGAAGGTAGTTCAGGACGTGGCGAAAAACTGGCCCGTCTCTGTCGACGAAGGGGTTGCCCATGGAATCGGTGTGCTGAACGGCCTTTTTACCATTGGCTAGCTCTTCCAGAAAGGACCCCAGGTGCTTGGAAAGGGTGGTCCGGTGGGCGGTGTACAGAAACCCCCCTACATTGAGGGTGATGGTGCCTGACGAGGGCTTCTTGAAGCTCTTGCTGGGCTGCAGCAGGTCCGGGTTGACGTGCCTCAGTTCACTTTCCATCCTTCTGAGGTTCCATTCCATTCACCAGTCACCCCCCTCCAGCCTCGACCCAGCCTCCTCGCCGAGAGCTGGCGTCCCTTCGCTCCTCCGCAAAACTAATCAAGTCCCTTTTTTTGTCTTTTCTTTTGGATGTGGGTTCCTGGGTGCAGCTGGGAAACGGAGAACGTGCTGTCAGCTGTTACGGGGTGAGAGTGGAATGTGTCAGGTTTGGACGAGCGCCGTCTGGCAGAGGAGCTCCGGTGGAGTCGGAGCTGTGAACGGACTGGCTCTCCGTGCCGCTCTGTGTCCCTCCTCTCTCCTATCTCTCTTTAAGAGTGGGTGTGCAAACAGCGTCACGCTCAGGGAGGGGAAATATGTGAGCAAATAACAGAAGAGTGTGGATTCTAGGAGCTCGTTTTCTTTTTGTTTCTCAGTCCTCAATTGTCCAAAAAAAAAGATGCAAAACAAATCTCTCTCGCACCAGATGGAGAGGGGGCTTTTATAAAATTTTGTGCTGTGAAATTGTTAGACTTGCGCAAGTCTGAATATGGAACTCCTTTTTGCAGCCAAATCCATCTGTTTACCACACATTCCTCTGTGGAGTTGAATCTGTTTGAGACTGATGCCAGTTCAATGTGACGAGGCTTGACGCTCTGGCTCTGGAGATGACAGGCAGAGGTRGACTGCTGGAGCCTCACTGATGCAAATCTGAGCAATTGGGGGAACATTTATGAAAATATCTTGCCTTCTCTTCGATGCGTTGAGTATTTGTGTGTTTTGCATCTAAAGGAACTAGACCAATTACAGTCAGTGCCTGTCTGCTCAAACTATTTTTCAATTGGCTAATATTTTGGCCTGTAGCCCCTGTTAGGGGAGCTGCAGAAGACTGGCCATTTGCTGCAAACAGCTCACACTGCCGCTTTTCTAGTGTGTKTGTATGTGTGTGTGTGTTTTAGTAGTGCAACTGCAGAAATCACACTTAATATCAAGCATGAGGAAACACACAGCGCTGTGTGAACGTAACGGTTTTGGTTTCAGGCTGGTTGAAATCTGACAAAAATATTAAATCTACACGTTCCCTGCAGATAATTTGGTGGAGTGTTRTGTTTTCAAACACCGGGACAAGCTCGGTGGTTGCAGTCGAGCTCCAGGCTGAAAACATGATAATTAACGGGTGGACAATAAATGAACGTCTCAGTTCTCTTCTTGTATGTGTTTGTGTGATTTTGTTTTATATTTTATTGGTGGACTATGTTTGACTTGTGTAAGATTACTTTGACCGTTGCTTGTGGACAAAAGGTGTGTTTCAATGCAAAATATTTCATGAACCACGGGACGGATTTTAATGAAACTTCTATCCACGCATCCATTTTCATTTACCCATCTGTGGTCAGATGGCAACAGCAGATCTAGAAGACATCCCTCTCCCCTTCAACACTCTCCAGCTCCTCCAGGTGGATCCTAAGTAGTTCGCTGGTTAGAGAGGATATAAGAGGAGATCTGGATTTGTCATGTGGTCACCTCCCTGTGAGACGTTCTTGTAAAACCTCCAGACAGATGGAGGCTCCCTGGAGGAATCCTGCACCACCTCAGCTGGTTTCTTTCTATACAGAGGAGCAGCGACTCCACCCTGAGCTCCATTTTATGCTCTTAAATCCTGGCTCTTAATAAAACATTCAGGAAATTATCATTGAATGTACTTCTTCATTGCATTAACCCAATTTAAAATGGCCAACAAGCCTCAGAGAAAACACACACACACACACACACACACACACACACACACACACACACACACACACACACACACACA